GTTCGCCTGTAGCCTGATTGGCGCATTGGGATAACTGCGACCAGTGGCGCGCACGAGCAAGCGCGTGCATTTCTGTCCTCTCCAGAGGTTAAGGTCATCTCGCGTGGGCAGTCCTCGTCTGTATACGGTCAGAGCTAACAAAGACACTTGGCCAGGCTCGACCCCTCAGGAAAGCCTCCAAACGTTGCTAGCATTTGGTCCGGCTAATATCCTAACAGTACTAACATAGTTAAGCGTTTTCCCCTTTTGCATGAGCAAAGCAAAAGACTGGGCGAGCATCGGAACCATTTTTTAAAAGTTTTTCTGGGGTTTCAAATTGGTAAATGAGTCCATCTTTAGCACTAACTGCAACAAAAACGTACGCGACAATTATATAGAGTTTGAACCAATCAACTATCGGTGACGCAAGTGTGGAGCTGACCGCGCAGGACGCCTACAGCAAATTGCTAAATCGATAAGGAAGAAGACTTATCGAGCACCGGATCAATTGATTTATTGTTCTGTGCTTTCGAACTCTTACAGGAGTCTTGTCCACCTCTCTGAGGATGGACTGCTGTAGGAGTTCGAAAGCTTAGGACAATAAATCAATTGATTCGGTGCTCGACATATCTTCTTCCTTATCCATGCCGATACCTGGAACACTAATTTCTTCATTCATGCGGGAATCGATACATCGATTGATTGAGTACCCAAGCTTAAAGCTATTCGCGGCTAGTCTTGCTTCTGGGGTGGAAGATTTTCTTGGCGGCTTCGAAGTTGAACTCATGGCCCCTTTCGTAGATGTGTGCAGCAACTTGCGATAATTAGTCACCCGGTCGCACAGCTAGCTTATGCGCGCCTACTTTGTTGCTTCTGCTATCTCTGATGATGAAATTCTGTGCGAGTTTGAGAAAGAGGAGGAGGAGGAGCGTTCACCTGGAGAGGTTTATCATAAGCCTAACGCTTCAGGTATTTATCTCGTCTACCCACCTTCGTCAGCCAGTCATACCCAGGCCCAAGTGGTGTCCCATCCGAGCCTCGAAATCGCGACCTTTTTTTTGATCACAGTTAAACGCCCTAACCATTGACCCATGAACTCGGTGTCGTCTCACAGTTGACTTGTTTTGACTTTTAGGACTTCTCCATGAAGGCCATCTTCCGGTCTACCAGTACTACTGACACACTTTCCTCTCGCGCCGGTGTCTTGTCCGGGTCAGCCGCAACTCAAAAGATGCAGGATCTGGCCTACCAACGCTCCTATCTGTTACCGCTTGTGAAGAAGCTGGTTGAACACTTGAGTTTCTTCGTTTGGAAGGATCTGCATTAGCGGGTTCTTGCAAAACAAGTCTTTCTTACCAAAAATATTTATTATTTTTTTTATTTTTTCCTCCTGCCCCCCCCCGTCCGCCCGCCCCCACAATCAAATTTTTCTAAGAATAAAACTCGCATTTTCGCTGCTTTTTCGTCATCATGTCTCCGTTGATTTTGCCTTTACCTAGCTACTTCTTGGGCGTGATTCATACGGTAGATTCCATATCAAATGAAATGTAAACCGAAATTCAGAAATGTTTTCGATTTGAACAAATTATTTAAATGGGGTTGTTATATTGATTATCTAACGGCTCAGTCTCCAGATATTTTAGTCATATCAGGTTCCGGCCTCTTAACGAGCACCTTCCTGGCTGCCAGAAAAAGTATACTCTGGGAAAAACAGCTACTTAAGTTGTATGCATTTTTGTCCTAATTCATTTACGTATACGTTCTAGAAAAATGCACAAACATACTCTTTCTTGTACTCATCTGGTAGCTTATTACGCTTTATTCAAATTTTATACTTGAAGAAAGGTTTGAGCAACGTTTCTGTTTTAAAGGGTCCCCCTGGCAGCCGACAAAACCGTAGCAACTTTGTATGGTTCGCAGTTCTTCGTGACTTGCCTTTCCAGTGGTTGTTCAATCTGACAGTGAAGGTCCTATGTGATAATCGGAGGGCGATTACGTAGGCTGGTTTACACCATTGCTGTCAATGGTTTGGTACGTGTTGATTGAGAGATCCTACATGGAGCTAATTAGTCAGCTGAGGATACTGACCTAGTTCACGATGGAACTCTGTCTGAAACATATTTTTACCCACTGTATCAGTTTGTGTTGTGTCGGGGGATGCGTGCGCTAAAGAAGTTCTTCAACCTCTACTTAATCCGGAGACGTCACACTTCGTACCAATCCGAGCAGTTCTTTGAAACAGTTTATTGACTCTATCAAAACATAATTGATGACTGGTAACAAACGGTGAGGGATGCTTCGATAAGTTGCCACTGAAGGGGAAAGTGGCTGGTTCATTTGGATGCAACTAGTAGACAGTTTCAGTCCGGAGTAACCTTTAAATGGGGAAATGAACAATCTTCAGATCGGACAAAAAATGAAAACCTTTGAGACTGTACACGAAAGGATGAGTGCGTTAAATGTTCAGCCGGTGCGCTCTCGTACCCAAGGCAGATGCCACGTTAATACTGTTATTCAGGAAGTCAAGTTAGGTGATCGAACGTTTTCGATTAACTCATCATCAGG